CCAATGGCCAGGTGCAACCAGGGATTGATTAATTGCTTGATTAATCAACTGATCGTGTACATCGGGACAGAGGGTTGTCAGGCCCCGGCCGCAGGCCCAGCTGAACTCCTACTGCGAGGTCAGGAAGCGACTCCACACATCTGTGTGTCGCCCGTGGCCTCCTGACCCACACTGCCCTTCGACGCTACTGGCAGGGGCGGGACCCTGAGTGTACTCAGTGTGGGACCTGGAGAAAAGGAAAGGACCGTTCTGGGGACAGAAGTCTTCGGGAAAGCAAGACCCCAGAGAGCAGAGTGCTGACTCCACACCTCCCCTCAGCGCCAGGATGTTCTTCAGGCCCAGACGCTTGGCCTTGTGCAGGTGGCCCGTGATCTCTTCCCGGCTCTGATGGCAGCAGGTCATGTGCAGGATGGTCTCCAGGCCACAGTAGTTCACGGCGGTGCTGGCGATCACCATGGACGAAGTCTCCTTGTCTGAGCCAGGGTCCCCTGCTGGATGCCAGGTCACATCTATGAAGAGGGGACCACCTGCCCCCATCCGGTCAAACCTGTGGGGAATTTCTTTCTGAAGAGGGGCTCCTGGGGGTACACCACCCTTCACCACCTTCCCATGGGGTCTGGGAGTTAGAGAAGCATCACATGCAGGCTGGAATCAGACCGACCTGCATTCATATCCTGGCTTTGCTACTCACTGGCTGTGTGATCTTGGGAGAATTACTTGATCTCTCTGAGCCTCAGTTTCCTGATTTCTATAATGTGGCAGAGGGCAGTGCCTACTTCATAATAATACTCTGAGGATATCATGACAGATGGCTCCACAGCTCTTAAAACAGTGCTGGGTACACGGCAAACATGCAATCAATGTGCTATCATTACGATTACTCTTATTGTGGAGATAACATATAATGACAATGAAACCAGTTTGTGTGAGAGCAGCACTTTGGCCTTGCAAAGTGCTTGCACGTTTATTATCTCTGGTGAGTTAAGACATTTCAATGGTCAAGGGGTCGGGGACCCCTCAGAGTGGCAAAAGCAGGGCCTCGTTCTAGGGACAAAGAGGGTCAGCAGACACAAGTCTCTTTCCTGCCGCCCCCTAGTTCCGGCGCAGCAGCCAGGAGTCCTGCAGAGCACGGCCACATTTCCATAACTAGAATCGAGAGCTATACGTGCGCGCATGCGCTGTGTTACAAGCTATAACGTGGTGCATTGAAACATCTTTGTGCCTTCAAACTTCACAGCCTTGGGAGTGACACATAAGAAGTGCAAGCGATAAAAAGCATAAACTTTAAAAAAGGAACTGTGATTCATCAAGTGCTAACATAATCCGGTTGGCATTTCTAGATTTCAAGATGCATAATCCAAATTCCTAACTTGCTGAAAATGTTCTCCAAGCCGCCGTTTTGTAACTTCCTAAACTCTCCTCACGGATCCAGCCCCAAGTTCCGCCAAAGAATTTAGTCTGAGAGAATCAACATTTTTAGCACATGGAAGAGAGAGTGTCTAAACATTCCAGGTGCTCGGAGGGGCTTTTACAGACAACAGAAGCCGCGTATCAAAGGATCTACCCTGGCTTTGCTTTTTTCCACCCCCTGTGGCTGCCTTTTCCTGCTGGGTCAAAGTGCAGCCCAGCCTCGGGGCTGACAGTTCATCTTTTCCCCCTGCCCCCATCCCCCAGTCTGGCCCTACTCCTTATCTTGCGATAACTCACCTTGAGATGAGATTGACAGCTCCCTCAGCAGTTCGAGGAGGGAAGAATTCTAGGGAGAACCACTTGTCACCAGATTCCATCCTCCGCTTCATCTTCTCCCTGAGCCTCTCGTGTCGTTCAGGGTCCAGCACCGGTGTGGAACACCTTGAACTATCCTTGGAGCTCTCACTGCCACTGCTGCTGCCCTCCCAGCGGGGGCTGGGGCCGCCATGCCCTCTGGGTTCGTTCACCATGGCTGAGCTCCTGCTGCACGGGGTGAGGCGGGGGCGTGAGACGGCAGGCAGGCAGCCAGCCAAGCCCCAGCAAGGCAGGATCAAGCGAGAGATGCTGCATTTCCACGCACGAGGAAGGCCGGTGAGGGTACGGGTGACAACGCGCCCACCCAGTGGCTCCACACGCCAGTTACGACTCTCTGCGCTGCCTCGCTCCAAGCTTTGCCCTCCGCTGCTGCCTGATTCCGCATGATAGCCCCCACCCAGCACAGAAACATGCTCCTTCAGCCCGTGGATCCTCCGTGACCGCTACCTGATGGAGGGTGGCACTGAGAACCTCGCGCTGCCGGCCTCCCAGGCTCGCATTCCCAGGGAGGGGCAGCAGTGCCCCGCCGGGAGGACCTTGGGTTTTGGATGGTCCATTTCTGCCAGTGTAAACTCAGACCCCAGACCACTGGGGAAGAAATGGAGGAAACTTCCCCAGCGGGTGTGTCCAACTGGGCGGAGCTGTGACAAAGGAAGAGCTGAGAGCAGCAGCTGGGGCCGGCGCGAAGGGGCGGGGGCAAGGCTTCCCCGAGAGAGGGAGGGCTGAGGCTCTAGAGGCCGAAGGCGGATGGAAGGAGGGGGACGTGGGGCTGCAGACTGCAGGGTTTGGGTGTGATGAGGCCAACAGATGTTCAGGGTGACTGGATCACATGCCAAGGAAGGAACGGCTCAGCCATGGAAACATCTCCTGTTACTTGGAACAGTTTGTACGCATGCAAGCTGTAAGGGGTGAGGGCTTGACAAAGCAGCCTGATTTCTCCCGAGTTTGTGCTTCTCTGAAAAGACCATGTCATGGGTTAGAACTTGACATTGGCTGGGTTCCAAAAACAGCCAAACCCAAATTCAATAAGAGCATGAATTTATGTCCAACTCAGAACAAAGGCTTAAGTCTGTGCCTGCCTTCCAGGCTGTTCTCCTTACACACACCAGTGAAGTCAGTTCAAGCGATTACAGCGACTGCAAAGCCACCACGGTGGAAGCCCTGAACCATGGCAACCACAGGCTGGCCGACGAGAGGGCACAGCGCCGTTGGGCAGTTTGGTGGGGAAAATAAGACAAAAACTAAAACAAAACACTACTCTTGCACAGCAAGATGCAAACACACAGTAGTGAAAATCCAGGGTGTGCTGACCTGGAGCATTGGAGGAGCAACCAGGCCGAGTTCACGTCTTTCAGGGAATGTCCACTGCTAAGCCCGTGTTCTTAACCATTTTGGGGGTCCTAGACTCTTGAGAAACTGATGAGATCCAATGCTCCTCTCCCCTCAAACACACACAAGTGCACGTAACATACCCTGGTACACCCAACGTCAAAGAGTTGAGACCAGACCACCGCCAGGGATGCCCATTTTGATTCTGACCTAAAATTCCAGTTTCTCTGTGGGGATGAACGACTAAGAAAGGGGAAAGTGTCAAGATCAGCCTAGTCTGGCCTTTCTTCCGAATTCCAGAGAGTGCCTCATTAATTGTCTGCTGGAACAAAACCAAGAGGGGAGAGGAGGCTGAACCACCCACAAACTAAATGCTCTTTCATCTGTTCATTAAGACTTACTGCATTCCTAGTATGTGCCAGGCATTAGCCTTCTTCCAACATTTTTCACGTGCTACCACTTAACCCATTTTAAGCTAGGATCCCATAGCACCCTGGGTTGCAACTGTGGCTTCACATATTTGTCTCCGCTCCCTCTTCCCAGTTCCCTGAGACCAGGGCCGGGTACTCTGCCTATGGTATCTCCGCGCTGGCACCCGGTAACAGCCAGCACTCACTGAGCGCCGACGGGCCAGGCGCTGTCACGCCGTCCTCAAAGCAACCCTCTGCCATTTGATGAGCACTTAATCGGTGCCAGGCACCGAGCAGTGGGGGAATACGGAGCCCACCACTCCCAGAGGGGTCCCGGTGTGCACCTGTGAGCCGCCCGACGCAGTGGGCGTCGGGGACAGCAGTGCCAGCGGCCCACGGCTCTTCTCCAGGTGCTCGGCAGGGAGCCGGAGAGATGCCTCTGGCGCCGGGGGCTCGAGGGCCACGAATCTAGTCACCGGGTCACTAGGTCACGGGCGGGGGCGTAAGCGAAGGCCCAAGTCCACCCCCAGCTCGGGGCCGCCTCAGCCCTGCGGTCCTTCAGTCCAGGCCGGGGGCCGAAAGTAAGTCTCCGCTTCACGGTTGAGGATCGCGGGCGGGGCGTGCACGCAGAGGGGGCGGGCCGACCGGCCACCACCGCTCCCCGCCCTCCGTCCAGAGCCCGCCCCCGGGTAGGTGGCCCCCAAGGCTCCCAAGGCCCTGGGCTCCCTCCCCGGCGACCACAAGCCTCGGTGTCACTCACCCTCTGGTCGCGGATGACTCAGGGCGCGCGCCCGTCGCAGCTGCATGGCCGATAAGGAGGTGCCAGCAGACGCGGCGTGGCTCGGGTGGGGGCGCGGCGCCGGTGTCAGGTTGCTTAGGAAGGCGGGGCCAGAGGGTGGAAACCACCCTTGCGGGCGCCCGGAAACCCCGCCCCCAACATGGCGGCGCCCAGAAGTCTCGTTGGAAGCCGTCCCTCCACCGTCATGTGACGCGAGCCCTCGCCTCACCCGTCTGCAGCCACTCCCAGTCTCCGTCCCAAGCTCGAGAGGGCCACGTGACACTCCCGAGGCCAGTCACGTGAGGCGCGGATCCTGGGTGGGAGGGGTTGGCGGAGGGGTCCAGAGTGGCAGTAAAGGAGGAAGATGGCGGGGTGCAGGGGGTCCCTGTGCTGCTGCTGCAGGTGGTGCTGCTGCTGCGGTGAGCGTGAGACCCGCACCCCAGAGGAGCTGGTAAGAAGCGGGTGGAGCCGGGCTGGGGAGGGGGCGGTTGCTAAGGGACGGCGAGAGGCGTTGCCGGGGGTGGGGCCGGGCCGAGCTGGGCCCGCAGGTAGCAGCGGGTGGGGCCTGGGGACCGCAGCCTGGGCTCTCGAAGCATCTGCCCGGCTTCACGTGTCCAAGTCTTGGGTCATTTCTCAGAACCCCTCCCTGGAATCTGAGGGAGAACCCAGACCAGCTTCAGTTAATCCCATCCTTATTTTTTTTTATTTCCATCTGAATGGAGTTTTGAATGAAACGAGCATTTTCGGAGTGAGCCCCCTCGCTGGACTTTGTGCATATCATGCAGCTGGCTTAGTTTTTCCAGCCCTTTCTCACTCTATCCCTCACCCTTTCTGGGTCACTGATAATCCAGCGTCCCTCTGCAAAGCACCCTGGGAAAACTTGAGTTGTGTCCCCAGAGTTGACAAGTCCCTCCTGATTTCAGACTCGGCATGTTATCAGACGGAACCTGAACTCTTTCCCCCTTAAACTGGCAAGTGACATCTTTGAAGTGTCCTGACGATGAGAGGTTATTTGGAGAATGTATAAGTAGGAATGAAGCGGTCACCTGACGACTGTGGATCCCCACCACATTACCCCCATCCCAAAAGGTTTTTTTTTTTTTTAGGTCTTGTTCCCATTTGATGATAATGGCTCCAGATGACTTAGAAACTAGTAGCTGGTTTCAGTAAATACTTCTGCCTCTTTCCACTTTTAAAACCATTAAAAAGGTCTTCCTTCTCTGGATCTGTTTTTCTAGACCATCCTTGGAGAAACACAGGAGGAGGAGGATGAGATCCTTCCAAGGAAAGACTATGAGGTAAGATTCTTAGATGCTGTCTTGGGTAACATAAGTAGTGAGTGACCTCACTTCAGAGCGAAGCATTAGGATTCCAACCAGAGATGCTCTTTGACCTTCTCTCCCGGGGAGTGAGTGGGTAAGATGTAACTTCTTTGTGGGAAGGGGCCTGTTTAAGAAGCGCTTTTCTCACCTCAGCCCCAAAGCAGGGTCTGGGTGTGTCTCCAGGCTCCCATAGATCTGTGGCACCTTAACCTGGTTAGAGCATGTGTTTGCCATTAGACTGTTTGCTTTTTTACAACTTGTAGAGACCCGGAGTCAAAGCCACTGACAGTGTTTGCTAGTAACAGGTGTGGGCCAGTTCTCTTCTAAGAGAACTGGGTTTTCAGATGATTGTTTCCTGCCCAAGCAGCTTCTCTCAGAATTGTCAGTGCTTGGTTATAGTTGCAGATTTCAAGCATGGGACTCTGAAAGTGTGTGTGTGTGTGTGTGTGTGTGTGTGTGTGTGTGTGTGTGTGAAGGCCAGTGCTGCGGGAGTGCCTTTATCATTTAATCAGTTTATGATGACATTTCTATGATTTTTGAAATGGCAAAAACAAGCCATGGTTGTGATAGAGGATTCGTAAATGATTTATAAAAAGAAGCTAGGGAAAAACCCATAACACTGCTCGTTAAAAGATGATTATTCACTTTACTAAACGTCCTTTTCCATGTTTTTTTCTTAAGTAACAAAGTGAGAGTCTACTAAATACACTATTTTAACATGTTTTCCCCTCCCAGTTGATAAGAATTTTTGTAGCAATAGATACTTTTCTGTAATATCTTTCTAAATAGGGGAATAGCATTTCATTGTGCCACAGTTTCTTGAATCTGCCTTCTCTATATTATGAACTGCATCGTTGTGACCATCCTTTCTTGTTCATCCTTAATTGCTTTCTTAGGATCAATTCCAAGAAGTGGGCTTAGTCATGTCTATGTTTAATGCTTTAAAGAAAATGTCAGGTAGACTTAAAAAAATCAACATCCTAGAGCAATAACATACCCAGACTAATTTTCTTTCTAATATTTTATCTTACTCTGGCTGTAGAATTTAGTGTAACTATTATGATTTATAGCTTCGCATGGAATTTTTTAAAAAACTTTTATTATAAAGAATTTCAAACATAGACAAAAATAGGCAGAATAGTACATTGAAACCCCCTGTACTCATCACACAGCTTCAGCAGTCATTCAGCTCATGCCTAACCTTGTTTCATGTAGGTTCCCATCCACTTCCCCCTTCCCATATTATTCTGAAGGAAATGCTATACATCACATCATTGCACCCGTAAGTAATTCAGTGCGTATCTCTAGTATATGAAGACTTTTTTTTAGCATAACCCAATACCATCTTCATACCTAAGAAATTCACGATAATTCCTTGATATCAAATAACCAGTGTTCAGATTTTCCAGTTGTCTTATAAACGTCATATGTACTTTTTAATAGTTTGTTTGAATCAGGTTCCAAATGAAGTCCTCACATTGCATTTGTGTGATATATCTTTTAAGTCAAGTAGGTTTAAGATGAAGTAGATTCCACCTTCATCTTTTTTTTTCCCCTTGCAACTGACTTAAAATAACTTTAGGAGTCTAGAACTTGCCAACTGTACCACAGTGGTATAGTGTAATGTGCTGCTCTGATGTGAGTGCATTTAATCAATCAAAAAGCACTGTATCCACTGATGTACTGTCTCATATTTCTTAAATATTTGTTTGCTTGTACATAGTTGAGAGACTTGCAGGAATAAGTATAAGACAGTCCATATTGTGCTGTCATCTTGCATTCCCTCATTGAGCCTGAGCCTGGTGATATCATCCTGACTGTTGCTATGACTGACACTGTCTCAGCTTTCATTCTACTCCTGTGAGCTCACTACGGCATCTGTGCTCCATAGACCTACTGTATCCCCGGCTCCTTCACTCCTTTCACTATATTGCACTCATATTTGTAATGCATTTACTTTCAACTGATATGCATATTTATGTGAATTTTATGGGCTAATGTTCTTTTGTGTGAGTCATTAATATTTCTCAGTTAACCATCTCTGCATGTGAGCTTCTTGAGAGCACTTGCTATGTGTAAGAGCAAACTTAGCTAGGCACGTGATCAGAAAAGCCTGCCCAGATTTTATTTATGAGGGATCAACTAGAAAACCCTTCTTTTGACGCTCTTTCTAAAATGTGTTCTTTCTTGCCTTAGAAAGAGTTCATTGCACATACTTGACTCTTTGATAAGTTGGGGGTCTTACAAGATGTTAGTCCCTGTTGCTTTTTTTTTTTTTAAATTGAGGTTTGTAGTTTTTTTTTATTTTATAAATTTTTTTTTTTTTTTGCGGTACACGGGCCTCTCACTGTTGTGGCCTCTCCTGTTGTGGAGCACAGGCATGTGGGATCCTCCCAGACCGGGGCGCAAACCCGTGTCCCCTGCATCAGCAGGCGGACTCTCAACCATTGCGCCACCAGGGAAGCCCAGACAATATCAGGTTTTAATAACAGATCAAATAGTTCATTGGTACCTGTTTACCAAGTGTCAAACTTTCAGCTAATTTATTTTAAAAAAAGAAAAAAAGATTGGTGTTCTGGTGTTGCAGTTGTTTCTAAATGTCCCTTTAACAGCTTTATTGAGCCATAATTCACATGCTATACAATTTACCCATTTAAAATGTACAGTGCAATGTTTTTTTAGTATATTCACAGAGTTGTGCAATCATCGAAGCAATTTCAGAACATTTTCATCACCCGGAAAGAAACCATGCACCTGTTAGCAGTCACTGCCCATTCTTCTTGCCCCTGACCGTAGGCAACCACTAATCTACTTCCTATCTTTATACCTTTGCCTATTCTGGACATCTGCAAGCGTTTTCAATGTTTATGGAGTCACAGTGTTATTAGAGCCATCAAGCAAATAGTTAATTGCCAGTGATTTTTATACATATTTGCTATGAAGAATAGTCATATTTTCAACATGTCAGTTTTTTTCTGTTGGTTCCTAGAATGTGATGTCACTTAATTGATTAAAAAATATATACGTGTGTGTATATATGCACACACACATATACACAAACACATGTGTGTGTATACATACAGCTGACCCTGAACAACACAGGTTTAAACTGCTCAGGTCCACTTACATGCAGGTTTTTTCCAATAAATACAGTGCCTGTATTTTCATTTTACAGATACTTAAATTAACTAAGTGTGGGGAAAACTTTGTGTTCCATTAGAGATCACAATATGTGGAATCAAAAGAGCTAGTATCCAAACTGTTTCAGCTTCTTGCCCTTGGGTGAGTCATTTATCAGTTTCTTCATTTTTGAGGCAGAAATAGCAAAATTCGGATTTTCGACTGTGTGGGAAGTCGCTTCCCCTAACCCCTACGTTGTTCAAGTGTTTACTATATGTACGTATATGTGTAGAATCTGTATGTGTATATATGTATAATCAAAATACATATATATATTTAGTCATTCATGGATGGGTCTAGTTTCCCAGCAGAAGTATAGTTTACAGATTGAGTTTTTTTTGTTTTGTAATCAGGAAAACAATTTTGTTTCTAATATAAAAAGCACATCATGTTTGCTGGGAGAATTTTAAATCATATCCAGATGTGAATGCCTCCTAAAACACCAGAGATAACCACTGTTAACAGTTTTCCCAAATGTTTTGCATTGTATGCTGACATACAAATCTTAATTTTATTTAATCAAAATAGGATTATGTTATACATTTTATTCTGCTCTGCCTTTATTTATTTTGCATCTTGCCTTTTTCACTTAATTTTTGCACATTTTCCCCATCTGTCTTTGTAGACCTGTCAGAATTATTTTATGGCTATATAGTCTTCTGTATCTGGGTGGATGACAACTGATTTAATCAGTCGGCTCTTGTTACTCCAGGACCCTTTAACAAAGGAATTTGGACTTTGGGTAGTCATATAAATGGAAAAAACTGTCACGTGTCACACCTGTGTTTGTTTGGCTGACTCAACTCCTGTCTGGGAGTGTGGCCACCGGGCCAGTGTCCAGTTTGTTCACTAGCTGACATGTAGGTAGCAACAGGTTATGGGGAGAGAGCACACAGAAGACTGTTTTCCTTTGGTGCCAAACTGCTGCTTCTCATGCAAGATGTAGAAATAAAATTATTTACTTTGAATTGCTTCTTGAAATGACTCTGGCCCACCTGCAAAGCGTTTGCAGAACAGCTGTGTTCTGCGAAGTTTAAGGAAAACAGTCTCCACGTTTGTCTCGTGACTAACCTCTTTTTCACAGACACGAACTGCAGAAGGTACTTAAAATTAGACTTTCTAAATTAATTTGGTTTTGGTTAATTGAAGTATTTGTTCATCTAATAGAGTAAGTTGGGTAACACTAGTGACAGCTGAAGGTCTTTTAATGTTTGGCAGAAACAGGACACTTAAAAATATGTAGTTTAAAACTTCTTGGGACTTCCTGGTGGCGCAGTGGTTAAGAATCTGCTTGCCAATGCAGGAGACACGGGTTTGAGCCCTGGTCCGGAAAGATTCCACATGCCACGGAGCAGCTAAGCCCGTGTGCCACGACTACTGAGCCTGAGCTCTAGAGCCCGTGAGCCACAACCACTGACGCCCATGCGCCTAGAGCCCGCAACAAGGGAAGCCACCGCAATGAGAAGCCTGCGCATCGCAACGAAGAGTAGCCCCCACTCGACGTAACTAAAGAAAGCCCGTGCGCAGCAACAAAGACTCAACACAGCCAAAAATTAATTAATTGATTAATTTAATTTAATTAAAAATTAAGCAAAAAACTTCCTAAAGCGTGAAGTATACACCTAAAGCAGTGCTGTTGAAATGCCCGTATAAAGCACAGATTGCGATACTGCAGGTCTGAAGGGGCTGAGGGTGTGTGTTTCTAACAAGCTTCTCCGGGGTGCTGCTGTGCCCACCTGTGCTTTGAGTGGCAGGAACTGGGAGTTTTATCCCTTTCCAGGTTTTGGTAATTCTTCCTATTGGCTTGGGACTTTTTTTTTTTTTAACTCACACGTCCCTCTTTCAGAGTTTGGATTATGATCGCTGTATCAATGACCCTTACCTGGAGGTTTTGGAGACCATGGATAATAAGGTGAGTCCTTTATTGATCTCTTGGGACCAAGTAGGTCTTAGGACAGCTTCTTTTTCTGTTCTAAATAGTCAAGTAAATTTCTTTACCCCTTGGCCTCTTAACCCTTTTCATGAGATATCTGCATTTATTACTTAGTCGTTCAACCTGCCAACCAGAGTGCCCGCTGTCAGTGCTCCTGGCCCGGCCCTTAGCATTCTTCATTCTTGCATTGTAAAGCACCTGCCACCCCAGACATCATCACCGTGCTTGCTGTCCATATGGAATTTAGTCTAAAACTGGTTGGCTGAGATGTATTCCCTCCCTGCTGTCATCATAAGCCTGCAATAAACGAAATCATTTCTTTCCTTTGTGAACAGAAAGGTCGCAGGTATGAGGCAGTGAAGTGGATGATGGTGTTTGCCATTGGAGTCTGCACAGGGCTGGTGAGCAGGCGGGGCGTGGGGAGACGATGGGCCAAGGGGCGGAGGGCGTCAGAGGGCAAGCTCCAGCCGGCGAATAAGTTGTTCGTTTTTATAACAGAGACTGCCTTACGCCCCCCACTCCTTTTTTTAAAATCATAATCCTGACACTTTTTCATACTTCTCTTGCCACGCAACTCTGATGCCCTTTAAAGCACGCAAAGGCTTTTTGAAACTGCGTTTGGAAAGAGCGGAGCAGGCCCTCACACGTGTCTGTACTGTTCCTCCAAGCACCAGTGGTCTTCCTTGGTCTCCGATCTTTTTTACCATCCTTTTCGCTCTGTGCTTTAACTCTCCTTCTGACAACTTAGCTGCACCCATTTCTTTTGTGCTTGGAGGGGCCGTGGCGCCAGGCTCAGGTGGGACCCTCCTGTAGCCACAGTGACTAAGGAAAGCCTGTTCACGCGTGGCCTGTTGGTAACATTGGTGCAGGTGACCAGCGAGAACAGGCAGTGGGGGGAAGGGGCGGTGCCTCAAGGGGAGTGCCTGTGACAGCGGGGAGACCTGGGTGACCGCCCACGTGCTCTTCACAGGTGGGTCTCTTCGTGGACTTCTTTGTACGGCTCTTCACCCAGCTCAAGTTCGGAGTGGTGCAGGCGTGTATCCTTTTCACGGGTCTTGGTGTTTCCGGACGTCAGCAGTTGCTGACTCTGCTTTCCTGTCTAGAAGTGAGTTTAACAGCAGACGTGATCTTTGAAGAGCTACGTATTAGCCACTTGGGTTTGAGGTTTTTCATTATCATCGAAGGACACGAGAGGAAGACTTTAATAGAAAGGTGCTCATGTTCATGGTTAGTAAGACCTGAAGCACAGACGCCTATTTTCCCTGATCGATCTATGAATTCATTGTAGTTCCAATGGAAATTCCAGTAGATTGTTGCTGGAACTCGAAAAGTCTCTTCCTAAATTTGTGTGGAATAGTAAAGAGCCCAAAGTAGCTGAGACGGTTTTGAACAACAGACAGGGGAATAGCCATACTAAATGTCAAGATATATAATTTAAGATACAGTCATTGAAACAGTATCATATTGGTGCGGGAATACCCAATTAGACCAGTGGGAAATAATAGAGAAGCAGAAACTGGCCCACACACATATAGAGATGTGGTGACTGACAGAGTTAGTGTTATAAATTAGGAAGGATGGATTAGTTAATAAAAGATGCTGGGACATCAGTTATCTACCTGGAAAAATACAAAATTAGATTCTTTGTACTATAAATTAATTCCAGATGGACTGAAGATGTCAATAGGCGAAACAAAACTTGAAGAGACGATGTAATGTTGAGAGTACAGAATAATTTCTAAGGACTCCAGGAGGCACAGAGTGAAGGGGAAAAGATCAATAAACTTGACCACATCAAAGTAAATATTCTATTTATACACACACAAAAAAACCCCAAACAACAATAAAACACCATAACTAAAAAACAAGTTTACAGCCTAGGAGAGGTTGTTCCCGTGCATTTAAGAGACAAATAATTAGTATCCAGAATAGAGGGAGAACTGCAGCTCAGTAAGAAAAAAGCCTGAACAGCCCAATAGAAAAGCAAGCAAAGGATGTGAACAGGCAATTCTCAGAAGAGGAAAATTAGCCGATAAGTAAACCTGTGGAAAAGTGCTCACCTCACCACCAGCAGGGAAATGAAAATCAAATACATAGGAAGGTGCACCTTCCTAACTCCTGAGTTTCTGTTCTAAATGTGGCCCTCAGACATGCACAGAGATGTTCATTGCAGCTCTGTGATGGCGAAGGATTGAAATCCCACCAAATGGGAGAGTGGGAAAATTGATGTTCACATGATATAGTTTTATGTAGAAGTCAAAGTAAATGAACCAGAGCTTTTCCATCAACATGACTAATTCTCAGAAAGCGTTGAGGGAGAGGAAAAAGGCAGCTGTAGAATGTGCATCAAGTGCAATGCCATTGTTTTAATTTTAGAAGCACCTAGAACAATGTGGACGCACATGGAAACTTGCAGGGGAGGATGCGCAAGAGTTTCAGCTTAGTGGTTTCTTCCAGGAGAGAGGGAGGGAAACAGAAAGGGTTTTGTTGTTGTCGTCGTTGTTTTTAATGGTATCTAATGTTTTCATTTAAAAAAAATACCTGGAGCAAATGTGGCGTAACACTGAGATTTGTCAAGGCATGGGCTGTGGGAGTACAGGTGTCTGTACCTTACCTCTCATAATGTTTGAAGTATTTCATAGTTTAAAAATGGTTCCTAACGTAGGAGACATCTCAGGCAGTTGTGTTTTTTTTAAGTTTATATACGGAGAACAGGAGGGTGTGCAGTAAGCAGCCACCGTGCTTCAGAAGAGGAGAAGCTGCCTCACTTCAAGTGACGGTAGGACCGCCCCAGCTAGCGGGCACGGTTTCCTTAACCCCATGTCTGTAGCGGTGGAGGAGTGCAGCCAGAAAGGCTGCCTCGCCCTGTCCCTCCTTGAACTCTTGGGTTTCAACTTGACTTTTGTCTTCTTCGCGAGCCTTCTTGTCCTAATTGAGGTGAGGTGGTGGGGTGTCGCCTTTTTGCTCATGAGGTTTTGCTCTCATTTTCTCCATCTCCATTTTCGAAATGTCAAGAAACTGATTTAGACTTCGAATATAGATTCCCGTAGGAAAAGTGGTCTCTCGTTCACTTAGAGATGTTTTCTGAAAGTGGTTTCAGCCTCTGGTGAGATTAAAGAGGAACAATCTAGACGAGAAGGTTGGTTTTCGACCTTGGTAGCACGTTAGAAATAACCTGGGGAACGGTAAAAATGACTTTAAATAACTTTAAAATACTTCAAACTTAAATGCTTTAAACTTAAAAAGACTTTAAAATAACTTCAAAAGTGACTGATACCCAGCTTAGACGAATGAGGTAAGACTCTCCGGTAGTGAAGGAGGGCATCGATTGTCGAAAGGCCCCCCCAGGTGATGCTGAATCACCAGGAACTTGCTAGAAATGCCTCAGACCTACTGAGTCAGAAGCCCGGGGGGCAGGGGCAGCCTCTGGTTTCACAGGCCCATGGGGGCAGGGGGGTGGGTGCTGCTCTGGTGAAGAGGGTCAGTTCGCCCTCTTTGGTGAGGCTGTCCAGGGTGAACCGTAGACCCAGTGGAGTCTGAGTTTCTGGGTGTACCTGCTCTCCCCATCAGCCAGTGGCAGCGGGTTCTGGGATACCCGAGATCAAATGCTATCTGAATGGTGTGAAGGTGCCCGGAATCGTGCGTCTCCGGACCCTGCTCTGCAAAGTCTTTGGAGTGCTGTTCAGTGTGGCTGGAGGTAAGGAGGGTCTTTTCTGACCTTTATCCTTGAAGCGTTCAGGGGGCGAAGATGACAAGAAGCATCATGTGTGTACACTGAGTAGGTTCGGATTTGAAGGCCCCGGCCCCAAACAGGTTTCTGCACTGTTTGTTGATGGGTTATTTTTTAAATGCAGATGCTCTGAATTAGTTACCATTCAGAGATATCTGACCAGCACACCACTGAGTCTTGAAGTAGAACGAATGTCTAATTGGTTTGTGGAGTTGGCTTTTAGCAAAGTCAGCAAGTTTTTGTGCCAGATAATAAATATTTTATACTTCGTGGGCCAAGAGGCAAGAAAAGAAGCTATTAGGTAGGTGCTTAAACTTACATGACTGCTTAAAATGTATCCATGTGAGAATGTAAAGACCATTCTGAGCTCTCTCAGGCTGTATAAAAACAGGCAGCAAGGCCGTCTTGGCCCACAGGCTATGGTTTGCTGACCCCCGATGTAGAATTTCAAGATTATTTTCTCCTGTTCGATGGGAATTTGACTCACCCTTTCTCTTACAAAGTCATAGGATCATCTTTGTTTTATAGTTGTCAAGAGAAAGGTCTATGTAACAAAGGTCTCCTGACCCAGACCGTTCTGTGCTCACTGATGGCCTCCCCCTTTTCCACCTGTTCCAGGGCTCTTCGTGGGGAAGGAAGGCCCCATGATCCACAGTGGAGCAGTGGTAGGGGCTGGCCTCCCGCAGGTAAGGGTTGATGGTCTGCGGGGGCGGGTTACCCCTGGGAGTGGGCCTCCTGCACAGGGGCGTGTCTGTGGTTGAATTTGGAAAAAATCCATCGGGAGCATCCCAACATGGCTTCGGAATCTGCTGTCACTTTGGGTTGACGAGAAAACGATATGGTCTGTCTCCCAGGAGAGCAGGTAGCTGGTACCTCGAGGCTTTGACGAGGCCCTGCTGAGTCCTAGGAGCAGGAATGGGACAAAGAGAGAGTCTGTTCAAATGAGAGTCACCCGGTGCTCCCACAGCCTTTGCCGAGCACGTCCACGCAGGGTGGCTTTGTGGAGCGTCTCGGGAGAGGCTGGAAGCCTTGGCTGAGATGGTCTCAGGCGCAGGTCTATGCTGATTCCTTTGGAAGCAATGCGGGAGTAGCAGCTGCTGTTCATTAGCGTTAGGTGCTGTCCGGGCCGGACTCTCATATACTGGCTCCTTTAAAGCCACCTCAAGGGTTGAGTTGCCCTTACCATCTTCTTTCTCAGATGAGGAGCTGAGGCTTAGGGAGGCCAAGGAGCTCGCTCAGGACCCCAGGCTCCCGTGCTCACGGGCTGGTCCACGTGGAGAAGTCTCAGTTCCCTATGAACTGTCGCTTACGGACGTTTACATCTCATGTTCTAAGGGGAGGGAGTTGCTGTGCAGCGGCCTGAGATTTTGTCGAGCAGGTTAAGAGTTGGCCCCTTGGCCCTTCCTCGGTGACTCTGCCCCGTGACGTCTACAGCAGCTTTCAGTTCCGCCTAACCCTTCGCTCAGCAATTTCCCCTTTTCCTTTTGGACTCGCTATGTACAAAATGCAGTTTCTGAGGGGCCTAGAAATTGGGCAGGAAAAGCAGTTCCTCCCCGAAGCCGCCTGTCTTCCCATCTGCTGCCCCGGACTCCTTCTCGCAGTCCCTGCCCAGGCGCGCTCAGGCTATAGGGACTCCCCGGCCCTGTGGATGCCTGCAGCTTCGGGCCCCTCTCTGACTTTGTTTTCTCTTGCTCTAGTTTCAGAGCCTCTCTTTACGGAAGATCCAGTTTAACTTCCCCTATTTCCGAAGTGACAGGTATGGAAAGGTTGGAAATTGGGTTGTTTTTTGGAAAAAACAAGCCGTTCATTTACTGCCACTGAGACCCTACACTTGCTCTAGTCCGGCTCACACTCTCCCCTGCTGGGCGGGCTGCGTGCAGAACCCGACCATCCAGAAGGAGGCGGGCTTTGAATTATTCTTCTGAAGATTAGGAGCACAAGGGCCAAGCAGGCATCATGGCTTCCATTTTGTCGTAACGTAGGGCCTCTAGAAGCATCTCAGACAACGAAGAATGTGGTCCAAGATCGAACATACGACCAGGGAAGTCCACAGGCATATTATCAAGGATGGAGTTTATTTGCTTGGTCAGCCGCGTCTCGGGTTTAGAAGGCTGCTTCTGGGCACTCTTCAGCCCGTGGGATTTGCGTGTGTTACTGACCTGCACACCTGGCAAGGCCCTTGCAGTCAGGGGCCCAGGGGCCGGGTTGCGGTCCGCCTCCTCGCCTCGGCGTTCCTGCCGGTCACTGTCACCTGCCCCTCTGCTCACAGCCACACTTGTACGTTTTCTCTGGTGCTGAGCTTTCTGGAAGGAAGGTCTGATGAGCCAGTGGCTCAGTGGTGACACCAGAACCCTCCAGTCTGCCTCCTGAGAATCCATGTTGAGAGTCAACGGACGTCAGGGAGTCCCCCCACCTGGCGGAGCTCCTCTGGGGAGAGCGTTTGGCTCATAGGTGAACTGCTTTGTCTGCCGAGTTGCCTCCCCAGAGACCTGCCCTTCATGAGCCCTGACTGTTCGTGGGTCTCGAGATGTTAAAACGTCAGTGCATAAGGAAGTGAAAACTTGCCTTTCGCAGCCTGAGGGCTGTTTCTCAGATAAACCGTCTCTCTTTTCTGTCCTCAGAGACAAGCGGGATTTTGTATCAGCAGGGGCGGCCGCTGGAGTCGCCGCAGCTTTTGGGGCCCCCATTGGGGGTACCTTGTTCAGTCTGGAGGAGGGCTCATCCTTCTGGAACCAAGGGCTCACGTGGAAAGTGGTGAGGAAGACCTTCCCCTGAGCTTAACCACACCCCCCAGATTTAAACTGGACACCTCTTACCCGTTATATTTACCAGTAGTTTTTTTTTTCCTCTTTTACTGTTTACCAGAGTCATACTTTAAATACAGTTACAAATGTCTGGAGCAGAAAAGGTATACCATGCAAACACTAACCAAAATAAGGCTGGTGTAGTAGTTTCTTAACGTTAAAGGAGACTTTGAGACAAGGGGAATTACCAAAGTGAATGAGGGACGTTTCACGGTGATAAAAGGCTCGATTTAATCGATAGTTTTAGTTAACCTGTGCTTCTGATGAGACCAAGAGAGTTGACGTTACTGGAAACTCCTTTGCTCTAGACACCCATAACCTCCAACTGTGGACTTTTCTGTACTTCCCATATTAGCACCCTTCCCATCCTTAGTCAAGCTGCTACTCTTCTCTCCTGACGAACCGCCCGACCCGATAGGTGAGACCGGCTGTGGTCCTGATGTGAACCCCCGTCTCCTGCCTCAGGGGAGCACGTTCTTCCTCTGGTGTTTACCGTTCCTTTTTTGGCACAGGGTCTGGTGCATAATAGGCTGTAAATGAATAGTCCTTCACAAAAGGCTGAATGAAAACTCCTAATAGCCTGATTTCCAACTTCTCACACTTGTGGTGTATCTACTGCCATGGTCACCAGGGCCCTGTGTCCAGACCTGGAGTTGGCCGTTCTCTGTGTGGAGCAGGAGGTTGGTGGGGACACGTCTGGGAGGTGGCAGGACCTGTCGCTATCGAGTGTTCTTGTTTTTTCACCTGTCCCCTAGCTCTTTTGCTCCATGTCTGCCACCTTCACCCTCAACTTCTTCCGTTCTGGGATTCAGTTTGGAAGTTGGGGTTCCTTCCAGCTCCCTGGATTGCTGAACTTTGGCGAGTTTAAGGTACGTTTTGTCCTTGCCCCCAAATTTCTTTCTTGACCCGTGAAAATTGCTTTTAAGTACCAGAGAGAAGCTGTCAGAAGGGTAGGTGCGTCCCTGCCCCTGTCGTCTCCCGCATGCCCTGTGCTCAGTGTGGGTGGGATTCCAGCACTGCTTTGGCTCTTGTAGGGAGAAGGCAGGGTCGCTTCTCGTCTCTGTCTTTTTCTGCTCCTGTCCCTTCCTGTTCTCATGGGCACTCTGGTTTTTCTCTCTCCCTCCCTTGCCCCTTCTCTCAGTGCTCTGACTCTGATAAAAAATGTCATCTCTGGACAGCTATGGACTTGGGTTTCTTCGTCGTGATGGGGGTCGTTGGGGGCCTCCTGGGAGCCACATTCAACTGTCTGAACAAGAGGCTTGCAAAGTACCGTATGCGGAACGTGCACCCGAAACCTAAGCTCGTCAGGTACCCACGCAGTCACCTCCCCTCCTGCCGTGGCCCCCCAGGCCCTGTGTGGACCAGGCCATCTCTCCCGGGGAATGGACCCCACTTCCCACACCAGCTTTCATGTTATGTCTAAGACTGAAAATGGAAACCTGTTTGTCAGATGGGCCAAAAGACTGAGGCTGAGCTTAATTTATATCAGAGCCACTGGCTCACTCCCCGCCTCTCTGGACTTGGCCACCAGGACGCATGACAAAGTCAGTATTGGCCCCGCGAGGGGTGCACTCTCACTAGACTCTCGCCCCAGGATTTAAAATGGAAGGCCTTTCATTCCTCGGAGAGAGATGATGTGGCCGCAGCAGCCCACGTTACTGGCTACCCACTTTTTACATGGAAATTGCTGGAATGCAGCAAGTCACTGATAAATTCTGCACACGTGCTAACAGCAGGGGCTGCTGTGCGTGCTCTTGGGGGAAAGGAGGGCTGGAGGTAGGCAGTTTTTGAGTTCCCAGGACCAGGTGACTTTTTATCCACAGTAACGGCTGCGCTTTGCCTCCTAGAGTCTTGGAGAGCCTCTTGGTGTCTCTGGTGACCACCGTGGTGGTGTTTGTGGCCTCCATGGTGTTAGGAGAATGCCGACAGATGTCTTCCGCAAGTCAAGTTGGTAATGACTCCTTCGCACTCCAGGTAACCCTGGTGCACCTGCTACCTTTGTCCTACACACGCGAAACAGAAGAATCCGGAAATGTATGGCTTGCCTCAGTTTAGAGCTGATAGATGTGTTGGGTTCATTGTTCCACACCTGATTCAGATTGCCCGGGGTGGGGCGGGCGTTGTAATAGTCTTTTTACCTAAGAGAGGATGTGCACCAAACTTTCTCTTTCTCACTTTTGTGAACAGTCCTGGCTCTCATAGAGGGAACTCCTCTCCCTCTCTTTCCCTGCCTGTCCCCCTCCCTCCTTCCTTCCCTCCCTCTCTCTCCCCGCCCGTCCCCCTCCCTCCTTCCTTCCCTCCCTCTCCCCCCCACCCCGTCCCCCTCCCTCCTTCCTTCCCTCCCTCTCTCTCTTTGTTGAACAAAACTAATTGGAAACAGACGTTCAGGATGCTGACTGTCTGCTTCTTCTCCGAGCCTCAGTTTACTCTTTGACCCCCCCCACCCCTGAAAGGTGCACACCAGCCTCACCCTCGGGATGTAAGAGGCACCCCTCAGACGGGAGAAAGGAGTGCCTGCCTCAGGGCACACGGTGGTCCTGGCTCGTCCTGCATCTTCTAGTTTTTCTGGGTTTAGGCCATTTACTGGCATGCCTCCTCTTTGCATTTCTCCTTTTCCTTTCCTAGGAGTATGTGATGTTTTCTAGCACCTTTCCCCGAAAGAGCCGGTTGAGTGAGGTAGGCATGGGAGCTTACTGTACCCTGTGTTTTTCAGTCCAGTCCGGTGGGTCTGAGAGCCGGCCTCTAGGGTGGAGGCTGGAGGTTCTCTAAGTACATGTCTTGTTGCCTCCGGGGAGCCACTCGAGTCCCTCTGAACCCCTTTGGGCTTTTGTCTTGAGTGGCTGCCTCTTATTGTCCCCAGGAACAGTCAGTGAACGGCTAGAATGTACTAGGTCAGAGGTCAGAGGTCAGCAAACTGCGGTCCATGGTTTTTACATTTTTAAAGCGTTGGGGGAAAGAAAAAAAGAAGGACATGTGACAGAGACTGTATGTGACCTGCACAGCCTAAAATATTAACTGTCTGGCTCTTCACAGGAAATGTTTGTTGATCCCTGTTACTGGCTATTCCCCAAGGCCACCTCTTACCAGACCAATATTTTCCAGAGTGTGTTCTAAGGAACATTGATACACGTGATTCAAGAGCAAACAAATGGAAAAGGATTCTGTGGTCAGATGGGTTAACCAGAGCTGAGTAGGTTTCTTTAATACAGGATTTCTCAGGGCCTTTAAAGTTCCAGTAAGTGTTAGGAATGTTTGGAATGTTCATTGTGTGCCAGGTGTTCTACTAAGCACTGTACATACATGACCTCATTTAGTCCTTACCATTGCCACGTTGGCTAGTATTGTCCCCATTTTACAGATGAGAAAACTGAGGCAAACTGAGGCCTTGCCTGAGATCACCCAGCTAGTAATATATAGCATGAGGTGGGTATTATTCCCATTTCATAGATGAGGAAATGGAAGCTTCACAAAATTAAAGACCTTTCCCAAGGTCACTAGAGGGTGGCAGTGTGAGAGTCAAATCCACCTGATCATGGAGCCTGTTCTCTGCTTTTCACAGATACACCGATTTCCAGCAAGTGCTGTGATACTTCTGTATGCGTTTGACCACAGGACTCTTTCCAGAGCACCTTCAGGACTAGGTTCCTCCAGGCATAGTTTGGGAAACACTGCATGTGCTGGTGATTAAGCTGTCGCCTCAGCTTGTCCCCCCTTCACCGTTCCGCACACGCGTCTCCTTTGCCAGCTCCTCCCTGCCAGGTTCTGCCGATAGGGGGCGCTCTCCTGTCTCCTACAGCAGCCTTCCTCCGGCCGTGTTGCCCAGCCAGGTCCACCTGGTAGGGTTATACAAACCCATCACCTGGTATTGTTACAGGGTCCACATAAGGGCATCTTTACAGTGTCGTTAATATCGATAGAATGGAATCCAGGAAAAGTCTGCTTAGTCAACTTTGCAAGAAACACTCTCTAATTGTTTGCCCAGTGAGAGGTGTGAGGTCTGCCCCCGGTGCTGCTTGTACATCGCCAACCAGAAACCAGATACCCTCGCCCTGTAATGAGTCCAGCAGTGCCCGGATCTCATCTGCTCACACAAAACGAAGAGAGTGAGAGGGCTGGGATGTGGAGAAATAATCTCTCCTCCCAGCTTGGGTTTTGTGCAGCCAGGAGTGGGGTGTCTGTATCGGGCCTCGTGTACGTGGGTTTTCTTCTGCAGCAAACTCGGGTGGAGGCTTTTTCCATTTGGGACAAAGTTGGGGCGTTAGGTCAGGCCATGCCCTGGACTCTCCTCCGCAGACGCCTGTCCACTCCCGGCCAGTTGTCGGTCCCCTGCCTCGTCCTCCACCATCCATGGTGCTCTGGGGCCAGGCTTCCCGCAGTACCACTGACAAAATTAGCCCTGGGAGAGGAGGCAGAGCCAGACCATGGTGAACCCTAAGTGTAGTTACGTTTTTGTTATGAATGTGCATGAACAGGGCCCTCCTCCTGATTCTTTCTTTCTCAAAACGCAAGGAATACACCGTATCACGGTTGGCTGCTCTTGGGGATCGATCTTTTTTCTGCTGCCTGTTTAATTTACGGGTAAAGCTTGCAATCCAGACTCTTTCGACCTCGCTGGAGACATCCCACCTGAAGTCTCAGATGCCCTCCTCCGGGGCCCTTATTTGACTGTTTGATTCCTTTTTCTTAGGTCACATCAGAAGAAGTGAATTCCAGCATCAAGACCTTTTTTTGTCCCAATGAGACCTACAATGACATGGCCACACTCTTTTTCAACTCCCAGGAGTCTGGCATCCTTCAGCTTTTCCACCAGGATAGTGAGTATCCGGGAGGGTGGGGTTTGGGGCAGGAAACAAATGGTTGCTCCTCTGTGAGACAGAGCCAGGCTTGCCCTTCATTCTAAGCGAGAACAGGGCTTTTCGTTGGTAATGCCAACCCAGACAAGATTGGGGTGTCTGCCTCCGGTGCTGGAGGTGAAGCGGTCAGGGCGCAGAAGGACCTGGTGGGAGCCAACGCAGTCTGGTGGGCCCTGGCAGGCATCTTAGCGGGACTCAGGTCGGTCTGTTCTGGCTTTGCAGGTACTTTTAGCCCCATCACTTTGGCGTTGTTCTTCGTCCTCTATTTCGTGCTTGCATGTTGGACTTACGGCATTTCTGTTCCAAGCGGCCTTTTTGTGCCTTCCCTGCTATGTGGAGCTGCTTTTGGACGTTTAGTTGCCAACGTTCTCAAAAGGTACCGCGTGCGTGTGTGTGTGTGTGTGTGTGCATGCGCCTGAGCGTGCACTTGAGTACGTATGCACAAGTGTGCAAATCATAACTCCCTCCCGCACCCCCAGTATGATTCTAAGGCATGTTCTTGGTTTCTTTCTTCCCCAGCTACATTGGATTGGGCCATATCTATTCGGGAACCTTTGCCCTGATTGGTGCTGCGGCTTTCTTGGGCGGGGTCGTCCGTATGAGCATCAGTCTCACGGTCATCCTGATTGAGTCCACCAGCGAGATCACGTACGGCCTCCCCATCATGGTCACCCTGATGGTGAGCACGCCCCCCATCCAGGCCTCCTTCAGGTTCGGGGCCACGTTCCCCCACAGCAGCCTCTTTTCAAGTCTTTGCTTTGTGTTTCAGGTGGCCAAATGGACAGGGGACTTTTTCAATAAGGGCATTTATGACATCCACGTGGGCCTGCGAGGCGTGCCGCTTCTAGAATGGGAGACGGAGGTGGAAATGGACAAGTAAGGCCAGGATTTCTCTTCATGTCCTAGTTCCAGAATTTACAGACTTTAGGGCCCAGGAATGTTTGTATTAGGTAGGAAACGGTAATTCAGATTCTTGGGTTGGAAGAAGGTAAGTAACAACAGCAAGGTCCTTCCAACAGCAAGCACGTCTGTACCCAAGTGTGTTCGGGATGGTGGAGCGGCCCCGTGCAGCTGGGGACTGGGGCGGGCAGGGCCGCTTCGTGGATGGTTCGGCCGCTGTGGCATTCTGGTTAAATAGGAAGTGTTATGATTGAGTGTTTAAATTTAGGCTCCAAGCCCTGTGAGTGAGAACTAGCTGCCTCGTGTGTGCCCAGCGAGGTGTCGTCCTATCAGCAGTGATTCCTCTGGGCATAATCACCAGCTTATCCGTCAGCCGACAGATAGTTCAGGCCTCCCATGTCTGGGATCGTGCAAGGTGCTTAAAGTCTAACGTAGGGGTCAGCGAACTTCTGGAAAGGGCCAGATAGTAAATATTTGCAGGCCATGTGCTCTCTGTCCTGCCGCTTTAGTGTAGAAGCAGCCACAGACAACATGTAAACGAGCGAGCGTGACCAGATTGGACCTGTGGGTGACAGTTGCCATCCCTGGTCTAAAGGGACGCCCAAACATTTTAATTCCAGTATAATTAGCAGTTCAGGGGTGATACTGGCATGTGCCATGGGGTGCTGAGGAGCGATGGCCAAACCCCTGAGCAACTGGATGAGGTTTGTGGAGGGGGGACATTCATATTGAGCTGAGGGTCTTGGCCCACACGTCTGACAGAGCAAGGAAGGGCATTCCAGGCACCGGGAACAGCATGTGTGAAGGGGACGGAAGTACCAAGGAATGAGTGTGTTCAAGGAACTGCTAGAGATGGTTCAGAAAAGGGGCCCAGGTGGTCCAGGCAGTGCAGGAGAGGCAGCGTAGCTCCGTCATGGCTTGCTCCCGGTGCCGTGGACTCTGTCACGAGTGCGGACCGCTTCCCTCCTTCCCCCAGACTGCGAGCCAGCGACATCATGGAGCCCAACCTGACCTACGTCTACCCGCACACCCGCATCCAGTCTCTGGTCAGCATCCTGCGTACCACTGTCCACCACGCCTTCCCAGTGGTCACGGAGAACCGGGGCAATGAGAAGGAGTTCATGAAGGGCAACCAGCTCATCAGTAACAACATCAAGTACAAGGTAAAGGAAACGGCCCCGGAGGAGAGGTGGGCGATGGACAAGTGGTTCCCTGCTGCCCACAGTGATGCCGTGCTTGTCACACCCCGTAGATGGGGTGGCCCTGGTTGGCTCTTGTGAAAGTCAGCACTCTTTTCATTGCACGCGACAGTGAGTGTGGACTGGACAGTGAGTATAGACTACGCAATGAGTAAGGACTGTGTTAGGCCGTCAGGACGTGTGTTCATTCCCACTGCAGCAAGCACGTGGATAGATTGTTGTTTTAAACATCAGTCTTGAGTATTTGGTGCAGGTTGTATCGGGGAGGGTTCTGAGTTGCCAACAATGGACTTTGACCTACTTAAGAAAGAAAAAAGTCCATGGAAACTGCAGGATGGACAGGAAAGCTGAAGCACCAGGAGCAGTGCACTCTGGGCGAGCAGGTGGCCAGTGGCCCCTCTGCAGGTACCAGAAGGCACCTGCGCTGAGGGAGAGTCCCACTGCCTCACTTGGGTCATGTGCCCACCCTTGGCTTCGGAGGCTGGGGGGCACGTCAGTTGATAGGACCGCCAAGACGTGACGTAGGAGCATTGAGATGCTGTCCCCAGATCAAAGGAGTAGGGGTGCTGGGCTGGCAAAAACCTTGGGCTCCAAGAGGCTCCTTTGAATCACAAGCCCCTGAGCCGCTGTGAAGGTTTCTTGCAGTTCGGCATAGGCCTGTGCTTTTGACCCGCACTGTCACCCACATCCTCACCTGAGTGGGTGCTGGCACGCCCGCGCTAGCTGGCCGTCGTCGCCGCCCCTCCCACCCACAGAAGTGCAGCATCCTCACCCGCGCCGGTGAGCAGCGCAGGCGGAGCCAGTCCATGAAGTCCTACCCATCCAGCGAGCTGCGGAACGTGTGCGACGAGCACGTGACCTCCGAGGACCCGGGCGAGAAGGAGGACCTCCTGCAGCAGATGCTCGAGCGGAGGTGAGGGAGCGTGGCCGCCTGCGGGGCCGTCAGCCCCTCGCCCGCCCGCCGGGGCTGTCCGGGGGGCTTGGGGGAGGGGGTCGGGGACGTGGACGGGAAGTGATCCTGCTGAGGGTGTCCTAGGCAGCGTCTGGTTTCTGTATAACAGATACACTCCCTACCCCAACCTATACCCTGACCAGTCCCCAAGCGAAGACTGGACCATGGAGGAGCGCTTCCGCCCACTGACCTTCCACGGCCTGATCCTGCGCTCGCAGCTCGTCACCCTGCTCGTCCGAGGAGTTTGTTATTCTGAAAGCCAGTCGGTGAGTCTCCTTTCTTGTCCCCACCAGGATTCTGGAAGGCACGAGGGTGGTGGGAGCACAGTCCGTGCACCTGCCGTCCAGCGGTGTGTGTGGCCGCGTGGCCCCCGCTGCAGGCAGGGTCCCTGCGCTGAGCCCGAGCAGAGCTGTGAGTTGCCCTCCGGCGCCTCTTCCCGTAGTTCCTCACCCGGGGCTGAGTGTCCTTCTGGCCGGTGGGCTCTTAATGTAGTTTCTGCCTTTAATGTCTGCCGTGAATGAACTTTGTTACATGTGTCATCCAGAGAAATACCCTTCTTCTCATCGATTCCCCTGTAGTTTTCTTTTTTCTCTTTGGTTTTTGTCGAGATAGCAGGCATAGGTGGGCTGTGTTCAAAGTGGTCCCTATAGCGACCTGGGACACACTTGACCCCTTCAGATGGAGCCTGAAAAAGTCACCCAGAGGACTAGTTTCCAGACTGACTCTCCTGCTTTGGGTCTTGCCTGTGGGCAGCCAGCTGAGGTCACTCATGGTCTCACTGGCCTGCAGAAGAGAAGCTCGCATGGGCAGGACAGAAAAGGCCATGGGTGGAGAGGCTCAGGCTTGGGGTGTGGCCTGTGGGGAGGCCCAGCTCTGCTGGAATGGGGGAAAGGTCACGTGCGGAGCACAGGGGACAGGGAATTTGGAGGCATGAAGTGGGCCAGACTACACAGGGCCTGCACACAGGAGCCGCCAGAGCTGGCCCGAGTCAGTGGTGGACGGGGAGGGCTGTGTGCAGAGGGGAGTTAAGGGGAGCAGAGCGGGGCAGGGCAGTGACTAGCACCTGTGCTTCCTGTGCCCCGCTCGAGAGCTGGTAGTGGCGGCCCAGCTGCCCGATGACGGTCAGCAGCAGTGAGAGCTGAGGGAAAGTCCAGAAGACTCAGAATGCAGGAGGAGTCGCGAAGCTCCCGTGTGAGTCTCCTGTGGCTGCCATTTCCAGTCGCCGCAAACTGGGTGACTTCAAACAACAGCAGGGTATCCTTTCAGAGTTCTCAGGCCACAGGACAAGACGCAGGTGTCGGCAGGGCCGTGCTTCCTCTGGAGGCGCCTTCCTCGTTTGTGGTGGGCACCAGCGGTCCTCGGCCTGTCTCGACTGGAGGCTCCCCACTCACGTCTGCCTCCCCGTCACCCACTCTCTCCCCGTGTGTCCTCTCCTCTCTCATAAGGACAGCAGTCATTGGGTTTAGAGCCCACCCTGCTCCAATATGACCTCATCTTAACTTGATTCCATCCACAAAGGCCTTGTTTCCAATGAGGCCACGTTCACAGGTACCAGGCGTTAGGACTCGGACGTATCTTTTGGGGTGACACAAGTCACCCCACACAGCTACTATTAGTTAGCACTTTTCTCGTTGAAACTCTAAAATAGCTCAGGTCTGCTTTACAGATGAAAGGGAAGTTCAGAGAGATTAGGGGACTGGCCCAGGGAGACACAGCTGGGAATTGGCGGAGAGCTGGCTGTGCAGCACCTGCTCTGGCCCCGCCCCGCCCCTGCCCCGCCCCGCTCTCAGACGCAGAGGGAGGGGGTCTCTAAAGGTGACCCTGCCAGTTGCCGCGTTCGGTGCGAGGACTGTCTCGGTTGGGGTTGCAGAGCGCCAGCCAGCCGCGCCTCTCCTACGCTGAGATGGCCGAGGATTACCCGCGGTACCCTGACATCCACGACCTGGACCTGACCCTGCTGAACCCGCGCATGATCGTGGTGAGACGGGCTTCCCTTGGGGACGGGGCCAGGCACGGAGGCCGAGGGCCTGTCCTGCGTGGACCGCTGCTCGTCTGCACGGTTGGCATCTGATCCTGGCCGGGCAGGACAGGCCACAGGTCCCCTGTGTTGTCTCCTCTGCAGGACGTCACCCCGTACATGAACCCCGCGCCCTTCACTGTTTCCCCCAACACCCACGTCTCCCAAGTTTTCAACCTGTTCAGAACGATGGGCCTGCGGCACTTGCCGGTGGTGAATGCGGTGGGAGAGGTGAGCGTAAGGGCGCGTGTGCCTGCGGCCGCATCTTCTGGAAGGGACCCTCTAAGGGCAGTGCTGCCGGGGAGGCTGGGCCTCTCACCCAGGAAGGAGCAGCAGAATCCCACAGGGAGGCTTCTCAGACCCGACCTGCTCTGTGGCTCCCCACTGGGGGTGAGGGGCGCAGGGGTGGAGGGGGAGACTGCGGTAGCTTCGGGAACCTTCCCCTTTGCCTCCGGGGTGTTTCTTCTACGCCGTCTCCTGTGTGGCCGGCAGATGTCGCCAGCGTCTCACCGGTCTTCCCTCTGAGGCCCAGAAGCGCTTAGGGCCTTGTCTGTCCTGAAACCTTCCTCTTCACCCTTGACCTGATGGTGCCTCCTTGAGGAGGGGGTCAGTTCCCCCCCGTTATGGGAATTTGTAGCAGTAAATGAGGGAGTTTCAGACAAAATACTTGGAGAGTTTTGAAAAGTAAAATACCTAGTAATTATTGCTACAGATTTTCCCATTGTTTTCTTTTTCTTAGAACTCCATTGTTTTTCTTATTCCACAGACATTGGTGTTTGTAGGAAAATGTGAAAATATAGATAGGCAGGAAAAAGAAATGCCAAACCCTGATCTCTGTAGAGGCAGCCATGTTAACTTTTCAAAGTATATCTTGTTTTTTTCCTCTGTGTCTAGACATAGAGGTTTTATATGTCAAGGTTTAGTGAAGATATTAACACTATTTATCCTGTTTAATACCTTAATTTTTCAGTTAATCTCTAGGAAATGACTTTCCACAGCAGAGAGTGTTCACTTGGGATACTTTGACAGCTCGGGAGCATTCCGTCGCGTGGCAGTCCGGTCACTTATTCAGTTGTCCTCTGTTGTGCAATATCTAGTCAGATTTCACCATTTACGGTCACCTGTTTGAGGCTTTCGGTGGGTGTCACCTCGTTGCCCTCCAGGAAGTGACGCCTCTCCAAAGTGAGGGTCACAGCAGGCCCTCCGACGGCACGGCGTGTCCTTACGCGGATTTAGTGGCAGGGAGTCAAATCGTGTTCCTTGAAACACAGCCGCGCTGACAGTTCTAACGCAGTTTATGGTGTGGGACACCCACCTCAGTGACAGCTGTGAGTCACTGCGATGGCTGTGGAAAATACCCGTTTAGGGAAGACTCTGGTTCTCTGGACTCTCATGCTCTGCTGTGCGTCTGTCACTGGCTTGGCGGAGGAGGCCGGGTGTTCCCCACACAAAGCAGTTCTCTGGTTCTCTGGGTACCAGCTGGGCGTCCCAAACTCAACTCGGCCCTGGCGCTGTCTGCTGGGGGCGGCGTCGGGTCCCTCGGATTGAGGGCTCAGCCCCACAAGACCGTTCATCACATCCGCCTTCCCCCCACTTCAGTTATCAACGGAAAGTCCAGGTTGTCACCTGTGCTCCTGACTGACTGGCTGTAAATAGGAGGTTCCCATGACCCCCTGCTCACAGAACTCCGGAAAACAGTTACTTATATCCTTTTATAGTAAACAATAATTTAGTAACCCCGGAACGGCCGGATGGAGGAGATACACCGGGCAAGGGATGTGGGATGGGGAAGGGGTGCCCAGCTCTGCATCCTCTCTGGTACCACCTAGCACCTTACGTGTTCACCAGCCTGGACGTTCTCCAGACCCTGTAGCTCAGGGATTTTAATAGAGGCTTCATGACATAAGCATGATTGATCACATCATTGGCCATTGGTGCTCGATTCAACCTCCAGCCCTCCCCTCCCACAGCTAGGGGGTGGTGGGAATGAAAGTTCCAATCTTCTAGTCACACACTTGGTTCCCTGGGAAACCAGCCTCCATCCTTAAAGGGCTTTCTAAAAGTTACTTCATTAACATAAACGCTGGGGTGGTTGAAAGGGGCTTGTTAGGAATAATAAGGCACCCTTATTACTCATCACTTAGGAAGTGCCAAGAGTTTTGAGAGCTTTGTGCCAGGAACTAGGACAAAGTCCAAATATGTGTTATTATAAATCCCAATATCACAGTGACTCAGGTAGCTCTGAAAGATGGTATTTCTGAGCTGGAGCAGGGGTCACCGCCGCTCAGAAGCCTTCCCTGGGCTCTGCGTCTTGCACAGGCACACCAAGCAGGCTGCGTGTGGTGGCTGAGAAGCTAGAGAGCGTGGGCCCTGTTTAAAAAGACATTCACATTCAGATTCTAGCCGGCCCAACTGAAACCATTGGGAGCTGAATTCATCCCACTGGCCTCCAGCTTGCGATCGCGAGTTGTGTCTTTATCTTGTTCCCATCTAGAAATTAGGTGGCCTTTTTTTTAAAAATAAATTTATTTATTTTTGGGTGTGTTGGGTCTTCGTTTCTGTGAGAGGGCTTTCTGTAGTGGCGGCGAGCCGGGGCCACTCTTCATCGTGGTGCGCGGGGCCTCTCACTGTCGCGGCCTCTCTTGTTGGCGGAGCACAAGCTCCAGACGCGCAGGCTCAGCGGCCATGGCTCACGGGCTTAGCTGCTCCGCGGCACGTGGGATCTTCCCAGACCAGGGCTCGAACCCGTGTCCCCTGCATTGGCAGGCAGACTCTCAACCACTGGGCCACCAGAGAAGCCCTAGGTGGCCTTTGAAATGAGTGTCTTGATAACGTTGTCAGGCCTGTCCCCGTCCTTCCAGGACCTGATTCTGGCCCTGCCGTTTATTGAGACGGGCCGGGCAAGCTCTGTCCACTCCTGTCCCTCATGTTCTCGTCCCAGTGGGGTTCACTCTGCAGGTGACTTGGGTCTGTTTTTGCTTCGTCCTAGATCGTTGGGGTCATCACACGGCACAACCTGACACGTGAGTTTCTGCAGGCACGGCTGCGGCAGCACTACCAGACCCTATGACGGCCCGGCTCGGCCTCGCCGCCACGTGCCAGCCCGTCCTCTCCGGGAGCTACAGCTCGGGCTCCGCCGCCACGGCTGGCCAGGAAGATTCCCAGTCGCCCGCTGGCTTGGAAAGCCTGCAATCATCGAACACTTTGCCGTCAGAGCTCCTGGGGGTGGTGTCAAGCCATCAGGGTCTGGACTTGTGTGACCTCAGCCAGTGTCTTCCCGTTTCCTGCCCCCTGCGCGCCCCCATCCAGTGCTGGCACAGGCCCCAGCCCCTCCTCCCCGCTAGCACCAGGACCAGAAGGGAAGTCAGGCCTCACCCACTGGTGGGGGCGCTCGGAGCAGGTTCCCCACCACCTCTTTGCTCCTTTCCTAGGGAACCCAGCTGTTGCCTTAAACCGTCATGGGAGGGACCTTGACCGAGGCAAACACTGGGTGGAATGCCAGTTGCAGAATTCAGTCAATTACTAAATTGAGGAATTGGGCCCTGAGGAAACTACGCCTGTTTCAGGGAGGCCCGCCTTCACTGGGACTCTGAAGTTGACATCTTGAGCAGTTCATTTTGAGGGAGGTTCTGCTTCTGGGTGTGAGCTGGTGCTCTGGTCTCGCCGCTGTGCTGTGAATCTAGAGCCCTAGAAGCACAAAGCATTCAAACCCCGCTAATAGTTCCTGAACAGTAACTCTGACAGTAGGGTTAGATTCACATCTGCCCTAGGTTTCAGCATTTCCGCTTCCTCTCCATTTTCCAAATTACCCGTGGTCTCCGAGTGCCACGTTTTTACCCTGGTCCTTTTCTTCTCCATGGAATTACTAAACTTTCCTTACGTTTTACCTGCATCTTCCTGGTGAAGCAACCCCAGCCCAGAGGATCTTGGCATCACCCCTAAAAGCAGGGCACCCCTAGATAAAGCTGCTTCACTTGACTCTGGGCAATGGTGCCGTTGTTCAGAAGATGGAAAGGAGTGAATCCTGAGCCAGGTCCACTCACAGGTACACGACGTGGCTTAAAAAGCCAGAGTGTGACAGTACAGCAGATGTTTATTCGAGGAAGAGGGTGTCTGCCCTTCGCGAGCACTTCTCACTGGCCTCCTGCTGGCCATCCGCAGCCTACCGAGCGGCTCAGCAGTGGAAACTTCAGGAGGGGTTAACAGCGGGGAGAGGGAGGTGGCTCCTGCCAGCACGTGCCCCGGGGTTTTAACATCAAGCAAAGGAAACCTCCCTCTCTTTCAGTGACTTAGTTTCCCTTTGGGCTGGTTGGTCCTCTCTGGACAGGCACCCAAAGGCATTTGCGCTTACTTTCCTCTTGTGCTCTCTCTACACGTTTAGCAACATCTTAGGCCCATCGTGCAACCGTGTGGCAGGTGTGCTCTGAGGGTCAAGGTGGCATTCATTTGCATTACGTTAGTTGTTTGTTTGTTTGTTTTTTAATCATGGAATTTGCCTGAGGACGTCAGTGCCAGGCCTCAGCAACACAGTTCTCTCCCCTCAGCCTCCCGACTTCTGTTGCCGCCTTTAAGCCTGGGGAGTGGGTGTCCGCCCAGCTTTGCTGGCTCAGGTCTTGCGCTCCACACACTCTAGGGAACAACTCCACCTACGCGGGGGGGCTGCATCAGCATCATTGCCAATGACTCTGGCCCCTCCATTCCTCCATTTTCTTAATCTCTGACCAAGATTACTTCGACCTATAAAATTTTCAACTTCTTGGGTGCACTTGACTTATGAAACACAGATGAAACTCCCAGTAAGTAGTTCGGGAAATTACAAGGACCAAAGGGCAAGCCCTTCTAAATGTGATTGCGTTCAACCAGCTGCCAGTATTTTAAGGCAGCATTTGGAACTTGACCGCATTATTTCTTTTATTGAGAAGCAAACCAATGCCCAAGTCAGGCGAATGGCATGACCGCCCATACCAGGAACCTGCTTTCCTCTTCCCTCTCCTTTCCTCTCCTGAAATTGGTAGCACTGAGGTCCTGCTTGAGGATCTCCCACCTCCAGAGGGCGGGGTCGCAGGCTGCTGGCCTCCTGGACACCCTGGGTGAGTGGTGTCGGGATTTATGCCTCCTGCACATCACGTCGTGTTTAAGTCACCAGATATTTTGTTCCCTTCAGTGTAGCCCAGAGATAGACGGCAGAGAGCAAACGCCTCCCTCCCCCAGAACGGACTGGACGGCCACCAAGGAGGACCCAAACCCAGCCCCTCTGGGAAGGCACGTTATTTCGTGTCCTCTCCTGGCATCTTGCCCTTTCCAGACAAGCCCAGAGACAAGCGGGGCTCCACTTGTAACAAAATAACTGTAAGCCTCCCTCCTTTGATTTCTGTTAGTTAGAAATCTGCATTTCAATATCCCACCTGTTGCCAGCCTGATCACCTCCCAGTGAACCTGGCACCTGGATAAACAGAAACCCTCAGGGGGCTGGGGCTGGGGTTGGCTAGAGATGGTTTCCTGTTTCCCTGGCCGAGGTGATGGGGGAGGGGGCCAAGAGTCCCCACCCGACTGGGGGACCTTTGTGCTCTGGGGGACGATTTGCTTGTGACCTTGTTTAACTAACAGTCCGGACAGGAATGGACACTTGTATACTTGACCCAGCTGACCATATGACATTTCTGATGCAAAATCACGCACTGACACGGCCCTGGGGGGGCAAGAAAGCCTCCGGAAGGGCCAGCAGCGCCCTCCCAGGCCTGCAGTGTTGATGTGCAGTATTGCCCCACGGCTCGTGGAGCTTGGTCACTTCAACAGTAGCAGCTTCCTTTCTGTTTGCACTGTTTGTTTATGTGGTAATGTTAGCTAATTCTACTGTGTATATAAATTGTATTTTTTTTTTAATTTGTAAAATTCTATTCTTATTTGAACTCTTGGAACGTGGAAGTTCTCACTATAACTGTAACATGTCAGAATAAAATGTCTTCATCTCCATCATCCTCCTGTCTCCACCGTGCACTTTCTTTAGAGTGGTACATACTTGGTTTTCATTTCACTCCCTCTCTCTCTCTAATATGTAAAAGTTGCACAGCTGGGGAAGGGGTTTATAGTCTCGGGTCTTTTTCTGTAGCTCTCCCAGCAGGACTCTTCATCCGCAGGGGGCCACTCACCACCTTAGTATAAGAACCAGTTTAGTCCTGAAGATCTTAGCAAAAACCACCGGTGTTCCCCGTCTCCTGTTCCCCCTTCACATCGATGCTGTTGGGCCTAGTTTACAGGTCGTTTCCTCCTATAAAGCCACCTGTCCTTCCAGCCTTTCCTTCCCGCAGCAGTCGGTGGAGAAGCCATTCGGTTCCTGTTGGTGTTGCGTTTAGGAGGCTGCCCCACAGGCAGCTTTCCCTGAGGTCCAACCAGAACAAATGGACCTGGTGCTGGGCCTGAGGACGTTTAGCCCTTGCAGCCAGCTTCCGTCGCTGCCACCTGCCATGGCTCTCTGCTCACATTTTATTTTGCCGGAAAGGTGATGTTCTTGGTCTCCAGTTGTCCTGCCTCGCGTTGCCACTCCACAGTGGCAAACGGTCTCAGTCGGCTCAGGTCCCTCCGCCCATCCCCCCTTCCGCCCACCCCCACCCCACCCCCCGTCCACCCATCCCCGAGGGTCCTCTAAGTTCCAGGGGCATCTCTTGTGCCTTACGGTATTTGGCACGTTCAGTGAATTCCATTGGCGAGCACCCGCTATGTCACTGCGACACCCTGGCAGTGAGCCCAGGTCCCCACTCCTCTCCTCTCAGCAGCTCCCACTCCCCCAGTGCCGGACCTCAGGAGCCGGCTTTGGACAGACCCTTCTTCCTTGCTCTCCACCCTCCTGGTCCTTGTTAGTCCTCTGTTCTTGGCTTTCCACCCTCTGCGTTCAGAGTCCACGTAAGGAACATCTTTATGAGAACTGGTTACCTTACTGTTCTTTCCCCACCTCCCTCTCTAACCATCAATTCACTCCTGGCCTCCCCTTCCCTCTACAAGGAGCACGTTGCTAATTTATTTCCTCTTTTCTCAATTTCTGTAACAGACCAAGAGAATTTGACCGACATTTATAGAGCACCCAAAGTGCCACGTGCTGCAGGGGCTGCTGAAGGGGCATTGACCCTCCAGGAGCTTGCAGTTCAGGCACACAGACGCAGTTGCATACCAAGACAAATTGTGGTCTATGATAATAGCTATACGATAGTTATAAAATGCTGCCAGTGAAGAGCTTCATTTGTCCTGGGCATGTGGTGTCAGGGAAGGCTTCAGCGAAGAAGTGGCATTCTCAATGAGCCTTGAGAAATGAGCAAAACGGTCTCAAGGGCTCTGGATAGAGGACATTCTAGGTGGAAGGAACAGTGTGAATAAGGGCGTGGGAAAGCGAAGGTGGAGGGTTGTTGGAGGAGTGTCGTAGAATCTGATTCGGAGAGTGTGGTGTCGGGGGGTAACAGCTGGGAAAATTGGTCAGAGCCCTGCTTCATGTTGCAGGTGAGCTCAGGGCCTGGTACTTTCTGCTTTGGGCAGCACCCTTTTCAGAAGCAGATACAGAAAACTTCTCCAGTGGCTCCCACCTTAGTAAAACCTACAAGTCCAAACACCTTGGACCTGAATTTGGGAAAGCCAATGGCTAATTTTTAAATTTAGTGCCCAAAAGTCACATAAACGTGAAGTTTGTCAGCACAGCAAACATTTCTTTCTTCACTTTGCTCAGCTTTTAAACCCAAATATCCTGCCTACTCTTCTTCAGATTAAAAGTGCAATTCACTCAGCTGGCGCACTACCTCTCAAAAGGTGTCAGAGAAGAGTTAGTGCCCTTATTTTACATATGTGCCTCTAAAAAACAATAATAATAACAGTAACGAAAAAACACTAAGTGTACAAAAAGTGTCATATTGAGTACAAGCTACGTTCGATGTAACCAGAAGAAAAGCCCAGATGTTTGTAAGTTTTCTTTTCAATAAATAAGTGCCCTGAATGTGAGCAAATCTGAATATACAGATAAATGCCCTTTTGGTCTCCAGGGGCTTTTTCAGGATCCATGGTGAGGCTGCAGTATGAGTGAGAGCAAGTTGAGAGCTGTAGTTTGAGACCCGACCCCTACACACACACACACATACACACCATGCTCACGGAGGGAGAAATGAAAGGAAGCCGAAGTTGTCCAAACCCATAGAAGGTACACCACCAAGAGTGAACTCGATGTGAACTATGGACGTTAAGTGATCATGATGTGTCATTGCAGGTTCGTCCATGGTAACAAATGTCCCACTCTGGCAGGGATGTTGATAATGAAGGAGGATGTGCATGTGGGACGGACAGGGATATGTGGGGAATCTCTACTTCCTGTTCAATTTTGCTGTGAACCTCTAACTGCTCCCCAAAATAAGTTTGTTATTTTTTTAAAAAAGGAGGAAGAAAAGAACTGAGCATTATTCTCTTTGACAAAAGGTAAAATGACAAGGACTATCAGGCTGAACTCCCTTCCCCAGGAAATGAAAGAAATCACACCAAGCCTCCAGCTTCTGTCCGTGGTGCTGAAGTTTATTCACTTTCAAACCGATGTCAGTAACAGGTGATTAAAATTTAACGCATGGGTGGGAGAAGTGGAGAAGCCACAACTAAACCACTTTATCTACATTTAGCATAAAATGTGAGAAATGTTGACAGGAGGCTGATGCTTGAATAGGACACTCGTCACAACTCAACCTGATGGCAACGAGATGGGACGAAGTTGAATGAGAGATCCCAGGGGGTGAGGGTCTCTTGAAGTCTGCCGGGGGCCTGGCCCGCCTTTTCCTCCCTGGCCGTTATCTTCGGTACTACAAAGAGAGCAGAGACATGTTTGACTTGGTGACCTCCCTCCACTGGAGAAAGTCAGTTTCATAGGACCGTGCTCCCTTCCCACCAGCCCCCGCTCCAGCTTGACGACCCTCTGAGTTCCACGAACTGGTAAACAAATTGCCCATTAGAAGCTAGTAAAAGTCAATCCTGGTAAATTCCAATCCTTCGGGATCTGACAGTTCCTCGAGGGCCATGAACTGCCAATCAGCGGTACGCAGGTGACTTGGCCCCGTGAACATATTAAGTTCCAAGTGCTCCTAGCAGTGACTTCTTTTCTTCTTAGCATTTTCTCAGCAGACTGTAGCTGAGGATGGTATCATGGTTCTGAGACTCATGGGGCACCTACCCAGTTGGGACAGAAATTTCAAAGGGAGTAAGCTTCTGTGCTGTTCCCTTTCCTGCTGAAGGCGTCCCCTGGTGGTATTCTTTCACAAGGTTTGAACCTCAACAAAACCACAATTTCCTTCCCGCCCACCCCATTTCCATCCGCAGTTCCTCTTACCCGGAAGCTGTTGCAGCCCAGTCCGCTCTGGGCTCCAATCCTGTCCATCCTGCCCCCGAAGCAGCTGGACCTCCGCCGGCTCCGAGGGACAGCGAGCAGCGCCCTCAGCTTGCTGTTCAGGAGGGCAGATCTATCGGAGGGTTCCCAGGGGCCACGCCCAAGGGCACCCCCATCTCTCTGGGCTGGGTGGACCTCCCCGGTCCAGGGAGGCACCTCAGAAAGGGGGCTGAGAGGGACCCCAGCTTCCTCATTCTGCTCGCTTAGTACTTGTTGGGGCATAGCCTCATCTTCTAAAGGCATCTTGTCCTCCAAATGGTCCAGCAAGTTCTTTACAAAAGGAAAACAGGGAAAGGGAGACGTCTCACTGCCTGGCACAGCGTCACAAAGCCCCCTCATCCCAGACCGTGCCCCTTTCCTGGCCCTACCTTGAAATCCATCAGGTCTGCGTTGGACACAGAGCCATACACGGGGTTCGCTCCGGTTTGCCTTGGGAGCTGAAACGCCAGAAAGAGGAGGAAGCTCGCGGCGATGGTGGCGGAGCCCATGCTGGCGTCGGTCAAGGGGAGGTCTGGTGCTTGCTGACTCTTCTCTCTCCTCTCTGCTTTCCCACCCGTGGCCTTCCTCCGTCTCCGTCTCCCAGCTGCCCTGCGCCTCCTCTTTTTATAGCCCCTTGGCTCTCTGAGAGCACAAGAGGGACGGAACCCTCCCCATTCTGTCACTTGCAGCGATAAAGCAGCTGAGCGAGGAGCCAGCAGAAGATGCCCTTTTAAAGTTATCAGTCCAGCCAGCTCTTCACAGCCCCTCCGCCTTGAGCAGCTCCAACGAGCCCGGGACCCCCAGCTGCAGGAGCCACATTCTTGTTGATTTGCCTCAAGAGGTTCCCACTTCAAAGGTGTGAGAAGAGCAAAAAAGAGTCCTTGGTTATCTCACAGCGATGCCTCAGGCTTCTTTCTCATCAGCAGCCGGACCCATGCGGGGAAGCAGAGGGTGACGGTTGGCCGGCGCCCAGCTCCCCCGTTGGTTTGCGGCTCAGCTGTCAGGGACTCCAAATAAGGGCGGGAGGGGAGGAAATGGCAGGCAGCCGGCAGCTCAGCTCAGGACAAATTAGTCCAGATGCTCGAGCTGGCCTCGTACCTGACTCATCGGCAGCGAGGGCAGACCTCTCCCTCCACAGGGCTGTCCTGACACCTGGCTGTCACTCTCAGTGGTCAGGTGAAGAGGGAGTTATTTTTTAGCATACTAAGTCAGAACCAAATGTGACAAATTGTCCCAAGAACTCCACTCCCAAATAGAAACACAAGAAAAGTTTTGGGAATGCAATCATTCCTCTGCAGAGCTCCCCCCCTTCACCGCACGGCTCCCCACAAGGCGTTGGGGGAGATCGGCGCTAAGAGGATACCAGCATTTTCATTTATAGAAGTTTGCTGCTTCTCAGACTCTGGGTTTGAAGCTTGTAATGCCTCACATCTCGCCGGGAAAGCTCCCGTGGAGAAGTTGGCTGCTGGAGCGAGGTGGGATGCAGCTGTGGCCCATGGAATTTCCCTTAATGCCTCCCATGTCCTTCTCCAAGGCCAGGCAAGGGATGAGCCACTGAAGCTGCCATTTTCCTGGTGCCCAAAAGAGAAGTACCAGG